GGTGGAGCTTATTGCCATGACAACTGCTTTTGCAGCATAGGAAAGAGCAGGCAGACTGCAAGAGCACTGATAACCAAGGAAAAGCAGGCTTTTCTTCCCCATTACTGGATGTATTTTAGTCGTTAAGAAGCCCTCAGCCCATGCCTGTATCCATATCCTATTCAGTGAATAAATTTCACTCAATGAGTTATTAACTTTTAAAGCAAATTGGAATCTTTTGTTCTCCGACAATAACAGTGTGACCTTGTGCCTGAAACATGGCTTAAGCATCCATTTCTTTCTTTTCTTCTGTGGCTATTTGTTGACAAATACATTTTTAAACCTCAAATTCTAAACCGGGTCACAATAATAGGCACTCAAATGGACTCAAGATAATTCATAAAGGACAAATCGCACAGCAACACAATTTACCTTCAACATATTTTACAAATTACATTTTTATATGTCTTCGGCATCTATTAGACAGAAACCAAAGTGCAATTCAGACAAACAAGCAGTGGATCTTAAATGCAAATCAGAACAATTCTCCTAGGCAGACACCTCTATCAAAAATGAATGAATACAAAATGGCTGCCAGCTATTAAATAAACTCTCTGAATTAATTTAGCCTTTAGAAGCAGTGAGGGCAAATCAAGTAATGTTTTTTTTTTTGAGGCAGGGGGAATAATTATTACCCATCAGCAAAAATAAAATGATCCTAATTTGCTCTAAGAAAGGAAAATGAGTCCTGAATCTACTGGCCCCACCCTTCCAGATTGAAGTGAAAAGCACCAGAATTTGAGGGGAAAATGGGAGTGATTTTGTTCACAACACTGACAAAAGAGAGGAGAGCAGGCTGTCTTTAGAGCCTATACAGCAGTAAGGAAGAGAGGAAAATCATGAGTGAAAAGTGGGCATTTCAAAAATGCTGTAAAAACACAATCTGAATCACCCTTAATCTCAAAACGGATCCTTTAGAACTATATATATGCACCTGCTACAGTCCATCATGCTTCCAATTCACACCCACTTACAGAACATATACAGGTAAAAAAAAACCATGACATGTGATTTTTAAACCAAAGGCTTGCATTGATAGTAAACTCTCACACCCACTACAGGATGTGGTATCTGACAGACCAGTCCACACCAGCTGGGCTCTCTTTGTGCCTGGGATGTGGTCTCCTAGCAACCGGTCCCAGCAGCTATCGTAATGGAATGGGAAGAGGAGGATCGGCGCAGAGTCAGGGAGGGGCGGGCACTGCATCAATATTGCTTCTACCATATCACCTCCACCACAGAGCAGCTGCAGTGTGCCTCTGCACACAAAGACACTGCAATAATGTGTGCAGCATTTCTAACAATTTCATGCATCGCGATGAATCTGGGAGTCCCTGGCATGAGTCAGTGATCACCGGACACTAATCATGAAATAATTAATCTATATCTACAGTGATGACAACAGAATCAATACGCTCAGATTGGGATAGCTACCATATGGTGGCTATTAAATTCATTTTGTGGAAACATCATTAAAAATGCATGGAAAAATTCAAGGGGGAAGGAGAGGAATCAAATCCATATCCCAACCACAAAGATTAAAACAATCATATACAGTCATATTCCATAAGGTGATTACAATATCCGAACATCTTAGCAGGTGTTTCTGCAGGAAAACCAGTATGAGACCAGGGGCAGCCAGACTGCACCCCTGGGAGAGAGCATTAAAATCAAATTCCCCCATCTATCATCTCAGCGCACCTCCCCTCCCTCCAAGCCTCATGTGATTTGGGCCTTATTAATACAGAGGGAAAAAAAACAACTGAAGAAGTACAACACCAAAAGGAGCTCAGCAGGGCACGATCCCCAGTCCATCTGTAATGAATAATACAGGAAAATGTCCCGACAGGAGAATTAGTGAACATTTAACCATATCAAAGAGAGGACTGAGGAACAGATGTCCGTGCTCATATCCACACATGTTTTCACGCTCACTCCACATCCGCCTCTGTTAATTAACTGTGATTCACAATAGTGTGGAAAGCACAGGTATGTGATCTATGCAGTCGGTTACAGGTGTGAGTTTTGAAATGATCAAGAGAAATTATAGATCAATAACTGTGTTAATCTGCAAACACATTTTATGGTAATTGTTGAATGTTTTTGTAGTTAAAAAGGTCACTCCCTACTGCACAGACAAATATTTAGAACCGTATTTTGACAATGTACCTCTCCTATTCATATCCAAACTTTGTTGGGACTATAACACTCACATTTTATTTGTTACTTTATAAAGTAGCACACGTTTGATATAAACCTACACTGTCCATCTTACAGACCTTTCCACAGCCAGCCAGGTGGGTGACCCTGCATGGTGGCTGTGGTTGTTCCTCAACACTGCTCCAATAAAGCATGAACATGAATAAAACATTATGTCCTTTTAGCCAGTGTGCTGATAAAACAATAGTCTTCCCCAGGGAGTGACTTTTAGGCAAAGTTAAAGCATGTTGTTTGCATCATATGGATCATTTGATTCACTTTTGCCAGTTAGTTCGATACAGTATGCCTCCTGCTCTTCTTCAAGTTACATTTTTATGTGTTTAAGTGCTAGCCTATATGGACTTTATTGCCTCCATCAAGGAGGTTATGTTTTCAGTGCTGTCTCTTTGTCTGTCAGCAGGATTATGGGAAAAACTACTGGTCCAATTTTCATAAAACTTGGGGGAAAGGTGTATCACGGTCCATGGAAGAACCCATAAAAAATTTTTTTTGTGCTGATCTGAATCACGGGAAAGATACTGGCATTATTTTTTACAATCATTAATACCGCAAGATAGGTCAGTTGTAATACAGACACATGTAGTGGTTGCGCTTGCAGATTTGCATATCATAGAAGTCACTTTTTGCACTATTTACTACCAGTACTTTTATAGTTTTATAATGTGTATATTTATTTATTTTTTACACCATGCCTATCTCCTGCTGTGACCTGTGTAATGCTCAATATCAATCACATCTGTATGTATGTGTACACACACACACACACACACACACACACACACACACACACACACATATATAAAAGACTGTATATAGTGTACATTTAACTCTTATTCTATTTTTCCTATTTTCATTATATCCTTTATTTTTCTATTCCATAAAGTCTATCTTATCACATCTTAAGACTGGACTTTTAGCCGTTTTGGGTCAGAAAGTTGCAAGATTTCAAAGATGGTGTGTTTTTTGGGGTTGTGCAGCTGTTTCTCTGAACAAAACAGCTGATCTGCATATTACAGTGCATGGTACAGTTGGCCTTTACGAGCAAGATAAGATTATTTAGGGGCTTTTTTATGAGGTTAAAATAGGATTTTCTGCAACCCCAGTCCACAGAAGTGCATCACTCTGTTCCTGCACCTGGATGTGTTTGCTTCTATAAACTGGGTGCGTGCTGACCGCTGTCTACTGTAGATAACACACTACAGTACACAAAAATTGGACCTCATAAAACCTCAAAATACCCGAACTATCCCTTTAAAAAGGCAAAAAGAGAAAGCATTTTCTTGCCTTATGAATACCAGGCTTGTTCCTGCAGCTTGACTGACACAATCTACACTGGGAAACATGGACAGAAATCAATGAGACAAATAGAAAATTAGGAAATTATTGAGAAATTTCTTGAATAAAGATATATTATGCTGACTAAAGTTATCAGGTAAACAAATTAGATAGCACTTCTAACCAACTGCCCAGTCAGCCATAAACCAAATGCATACAGGATGCATGTTTCAATATTTCCTGTTAAATAAATTACAACTGTCTGATGTGCATCTTTCCCAGCCTAATGTTAACAATTGTCAGTAAGTTAGTAAGGTCAATATGTAATGTTAGCTGGTAATGAAATAAAAATCTTGTTTTTTTAATTCAGGAGACTCTGTATTAAATTCAATTAATGAAATTACTTTTGTGTATATAAAATGTTTAATATGCATGTCAGTGCAAGTTTTTACTGCTCACAGCCAGCCAGTGTATTTTCTGCAGGTTTTTTCTTTCTCGTGGGATTCCAGTGTCCTGAATTCTTTTGGCTACTACAGCCGAAGGGTCCCTTAACCGAACACCAGAGAATAGTCAAGGTTACTAAAGACACTTTGCTCTGTATTCTGTGGATTCTGTTACACGACAATGTCTGCATTTTGATCTTCAACATGCAACTAAAGCATCATCTTAAAATGGGAATTCATGCTGATAATCATGTGCCAGTGTGCTGATATTATTGATAGTGTGCTATTTCTAGGACTGTCTGGTGACTGGTCTTACCCCAAACCTCATATGTGTCTCAGCAAGTTAACTAAAACTAACTAAAAGAAAGCAGCATCCGAAATAGAGTAACAAAGAGGACAAAATGATCAAACAACAATACAGGGTTTGGCCCTTTGTAGACTACCATAATGGGTAGAAGACAGAACTTCCCAGGACTTTTGAACTTTTCAATGACAGATCAACTGAGAAATAGCAATGGCCTAAAAACTAACTTCACAACAAAGGCTAGTGGGCAGGATACTACTGACCTGAACCACAAGAGAAGAGAGTATGTTGCCTCAGACTAATAGTAGACAATGAAGGTCACTGTGTACACAGATTGTTCTCATGGATGTTCGAGGTTCTCATGGACATGCTGTGTCATTTCTGACTGAGGGTAGGAGCGGGCTTCATTTCCAAGCAAATCATTTAGTTTCCTGCTTTCCTTTGATCCGGATACCTTTCTGGGTGTGGGTGGATGTATGAATGATGAACTGTCCACAGCCCTGACCACAAATTTTCCTATTGTGTAGCTTTGCTTACACACAGTACTGTACCCCCTTTATTCCAGTTATTCCTAGAACAGAGGGCCCTATCCATTAAACAAATGCAGACCAAAAAAAAGGAAGCAGCGTGGTATATTTGAATTAGGTTTTTCATATGTGACTGAATTTCTTTACTGGATAGCATGATGTAATTGGATAATAGCTGAGAGCGAGACATACCTGCTTGCCATCAAGTGTGTAGATCCTCTTGACCACGCCACTTTCAAGTTTAATGGCCTCTGTGATGTCGGTGAGCACCTGCTCGAAGGAGTGTGCCGTTTTCTTATTGAGCAGGACACGCACAGCCTTGCGTGGCTTCACACCGCTGCGCATCACCGTCACTAGCTTGGGTCGAACAAAGTCCTTGCCCTCTCTGGTCTCACCGGCAGCCTTGGCGGCTAAGGACTGCATGTTCTTCTGGCTCGCTGAGGCCTTTACATTCACGGACCAGTTGGGGTTGACATTCTTTGTGTAGTCAACCTTCTTGTAGAAGTTCTCCGATGCACAAACATAGCTTTCCCCTGTAACGACAAAGAAAATTGGGTTAGTGTGTTGTAGCACACTCAGCTATTCAACTTTGACACCTGAGAGTCCCAGAGGTGTCCACTCAGAAACATCTGAACCTTCAGGAACTCAAATAATTTGATTATCATCATCTTGGATTTCATCTCACATTGATCTAATGTAATAACTACAAATCATTTTACTTTGAAGTAAATAGTAAATACTGCAGATTTTAGTTTTGTTTGTTGAAGAAGAAAGTAAAAGCTGTTACGAGCCAGGCATTGGGCAACCAGATTCTTTCTGGAGACATGTTGCTGTTGAGTTTTTCCAAATGGTATCACCACAAACCAAATTTCATTCATCCCCATCGTATTGAGGGAACGGCAGGAGTCTCAGGATGAATGTTTAAACACCAAAACTATAACATCTGGTTGGTCAGATTACCAACAGGATGAATGGTAACGTGTTTTTGTCATTTGAAAGAAATACAGGGCTTTAAAGTAATCCTTTGGAGGAAGGAAACTAGCTTAGGATTTCATGTTAATGTTTAATACACATTTCTTTGTCGTAGCTCACAAGTCCATGTCTTTGTCTGGTGCTGAATTTGAGTTTTAACTTAAAAGGTTCTTCCATGAGACCATAGCACATATCAGTTCAACAATACCTGCTTTACAGCACACACTGACAGAAATAGCAATACAGTAGAGACACATCTTCACTTATTAAAGATTAATTGTGTTTTGAGTTTAAAGCATGTAACCCTTGGCTTGGTTAGACTTACACTATAACAACCATCCTTTGAGATTAAACCTGTCGTGAGACTTCCTTGTTAATGGAGGAATTCAGCCATAGAGAGACTAAGCATTCTTTTACCATTTTTCAAAAGAAATGGTTTTCAAAAAAAAATCTACAGCCTCTCACTGCAAATGTACTTTTCCTAAATTGGCCCATCTTTCTTCCAATTCTCTCAATAATCCTCCATTTTCTTTGTCATTATCGACCACCAGTCTTTACAGCAGATTGTGCTGCTCTTGCCCAGACAGGGAGAGGAGTTTAAGTGAAGACAAAATGCAGCAGGGGGAGAAAGATGGAGAGAAAGAGAAATTTTGACAAAAGGGGAATCTAGAAGGCAACAATTAGGCCAAATGTGGAGAAATTACAGCAAAGACAAAGGCACAAAACAGGATTACACAGTGCAGAGGAGATTGAGCAATTAATTATATCCCACCAGAGGAAGCACAATGAAATGCCCTCCACCACCCACAGTGCTTACAGTGCTGCCCCTTCTTTACTGCAGTCACCAGACACACACACATACATGCAGAACAGCACATGGAGGCATGCACACACACTCCTATCTTCCCTAAGCAGCTCAAGGAGCAGAGATGATCATCTCATTTTGAACAAATTAAGCTGCAGTTTATCTACTAGCTTTACCCCAAGTTCACCCTGTCCACCTCGTCCCACTTCTCATAAAGTAACGTCTGTCAGTAAATGGGCCACAACTTAAAGTTGGGTCATTTAACTAGGTCTAGAAATGAAATTCCTGAAAATGATCTGATTGATGGCTGTTGACTGAAAATGATAAAGGATTTGCCAGGTTAAACAGTATTCAGTAAATATTCAAAAACAACATCAGCAATCGAAAAACATTTTCTTTTGTAACCCTGTACTGTTTTACTCTATCCATCTTTATGTTGCTGCATCCAGACAAAGGTTACGATGAAATATGAGCTTCCTCAGGTTGAAATGCATGGATCATCCTGTCCAGTGCCAAGCAAAAACTTCATTCATTTACCAAAAAGGATTCAAAATCATCTTTGCTGACTTTTACAACATTGATCTGTCAGCACATAAATAACTTCTGATCAGTCTACCAATGCCAAATATAGGCTACAACAGACACCAAAAGCCATGATGGCAGCTGCTAATGAAGCCATCTCTCATTTATACAACTTCATCTATCAGACAGAAGATCAGAATGGTCATAAAATATGTTGTTATATAAAATACCTTGACTGCTGAATCCGACATTTGACAGTAAAAATTCCCACTAGTGACTGGAGGTTTCCTGAAAGAAGTAGAGGCTAATGGCGTCTGTTAATGAACCATTTATCCTGCTGAGCTGCAGAGAGCTGACTTTACAGCACAGTATGAACCCCTGTGAGAGTCTAAAGCTAAAAACCCAAAATCTGAGACCACTGATTCCCATTAAGCCCAAAATGGAAGACCAGGTTTCAGCTTTATAAGCTGCTTCAAGAAATCTTTGAAAGCAGAGTCATGAAATACAATCTAACATGAGTAACAGGTTATGTGGTGTGAATGTAAAATGAGGCAAGACAAGGTTTTTAAAACACATCTCAGATACATTTCCTCACACATTTTGTCATTGAGAGAAAATACTGCATTTCATTTGTCAAATAAAGAACAGTTCCATTTTGAATTTAACTTAAAAGCCTTACAAAATGTACAATGTGCAAACAGTTGAGAGAAGTGGACCATGTCCCTCAGATTAGAAGTGGATACATCATATGAAGAGATTACAGGAGTTTAGACCGAAAAGATAAGACTTCTAATCTCAGAACTGGAAATGTTATGCTTCTAAATCTTAGCACAGAAACTGACTTGAAACTGCAGATCATCTTTAACATGGCGGCCTATAATGTTTCAATTTGCTCCAACTACAGGGAAACAAAGAAACTGAAAATTCAAATGATCCCTTATCTCATGAAGGAGATGCATTAAATAATAAGTACTAATAATAAGTGCTTGGTGCGTCCTACTAAATGTGCTTACCTTCCTCAAGTTCATCCAAGGTTGAGATCTTGCGCAAGCCATCAATAGTGAAGATGAAGCGGACACCCTGTGGCAAGTTGATGTGGTCAGAGAGTGAGCGTGTGAGGTCAGCCAGGAGTGAGTCAAAGGTGCGAAATCGGTCATTGGCCACAGCATACACGATGCCCTTGAAGTAGCGGTCTCCATTGCGGTAGAAGCGCACCTTTTTGGCTTTCTTCTCATTGGTGAGGGCCTGCAGAGTGCGTGTACGGTAGAAGCTGCAGTGGGCGCTGTGGGTAGGGCTGGGAAGTCCATTCATGCGCCCACCCCGCGGGGTACGGGATGCCTTGTCTCGCTCGTCAAAATGTCCAAAGTCTAGCTCCATGATGACTGAAAGTTGTGATGGTTGTGTCAGATGGTTGGTGGTGGTGACCAGCTCCGGAGAGTCTAGGAAAAGAAGGAAAACAATGTATGTAATCGTAGAGTAAAATACAATAATAATAATAATAATAACCAAAACAATAATGCAACATTGTGATTTACTACTTTGGCCTGTTCCAAACTAATGGATCGAATTACCTGTTTTAAAAGCCAGGAATAAAGTCACAGATTGACAGAAGTACTGGGTCTGATGAATTTTCTCATTAGTCACCAGATGACATCACTATAGCACTAGGTGAGCTAAACTCTGTTCTATATTTTGCACAACTTTTAGTACAAACAGAACATGCATTTTATTAATTTCATTAGACATCTAACTTCTGTGATTTGGACATTAGGAACTGAATTCAAAAATCTGCAATGATGGTAGTGGTTTCGTCTGCATACAGGAGGACAATAAATGAAACCACTAATCAAACATTTTTAGTGAGACAAAAGGACTGCTTTTGATAGTCAAACAGTGACAAATTCTGACCACATTAAAGAACATTATGGACGTGTCAGTTTATGATTGACCTTGCGCAAGTTGTACTATCCAAAAAAAACTCCAGATCACCTCCCTTACTACTACTAGCTTTAAAGTATACACTAAAAATTAATCTTCACAGATGATCTAATTGCCTTCAACCATGTGCAGATTTGATACCCTACGGCACCAGCCAGTGGAGTTCTGATGTGGAATTAGATTACGCCTTTCAATTTCAATTGTTTAAATACTCATAAAGCTGGAGCGGAGGGATACTGACGGTGGAGATTTAGGCATGTAAAAGTAGGATTATACAGAGAGGGGATTAAATTGGCTAACTTGCTATTTAGGTTTTTCATTGTCAGATTAGATTTGATGATAAACATTTTCATGCTATTCTGACTTCATAGGCTGTCTATCTCGGTAATGTGTGGTCCTATATTGATTTCCTGGTTTATTTTGAACAAGGGGACAAGGGAGAACTGATATCTTTCCAGTCACTCCTAAATCCTAAACCTATCACCATGGCTGAAGGTTTGGCTCGCCTATTTCCCCCACAAAAAAAACAGATGTGTAGTAATACTAATATATATTCCAAACTAAAGAACAAGAAGGAGATGAGGTACCTGTCTGAGATGTCCTGTGATGTAATAAAAATATTTGTTTCTTAATTAAATGTAAGGTAACGTGTTTCCAGTATGTTTTAGTGAGAATATTTTGATGATTATCATATCATGAATTATTTTGGCCAGGATAATCATGAAAGGAAACGTTCATGTCACCCCATGCCTTTCTTCTACTGTGGACATATAATGAATTAAGTTGATATTTTTTGCTTTGAGAAACATTACTGTTCAATGTTTCATCCTCTTTGCTTAAACTGCTATATGTAGCATATGACACATCTCTCTCTCTTCTTCTGTTCCCACCTACATACACCTGTGAGCAATTGTCTCACTTGTGCAGATGAATCAGCAACTGGCATGTGGCCAACTAATATAGTTCAATGGTACAGATATGAAATTACCCTTTGATAGAACATTTGGTAAATTGTTGATTGTTGGTTTAGACATCTGAAATCTATTCCTCCATTTCTTTGGTGTAGTTTATATGTCACTGTGTCCGGTGTAATGAAAACAATTTAATAAAGCATCTGTGTAAAGTATTCTTTCAATATCAAGTACTCAAGAGTACTCCGGACATTCTGGGTATGCGTATCCCACTGTACATCGTTTTGAATTTATGTCTACAAGATCAAATGTCAAAGTCTTGTGATACTGTTACACTGTTCAGTAGAAATAATGGATTCTCAGAGCAGTGTTTAATATTTAAGTGGATAAAGTGTTAGAGTAAGTGAGTTTAAGTGTTATCAGTTTATTTCTACTGAAATTTCAGGTTTTATCACATTCTGACTAGATTTTAATTTTATTTAGAAGCTTTCATCATTTGAAAGAAAACGTTACCCTTGTTTTTTCCCGTTTCTATTTCCAAAATAGACTAGACTTATATATATATATATAACAGGAGATCCAGTTCTTCCTGGTTCTTGGAAATGATGCAAATGATGCATCTGTTCAGCCAATAAACAATAAACCACTTATGCTACAGGATGGACTGGCCAAAAGCTGGAGCAGCTTTTCTGTTCTCGTCCGTTGACCTGCCACCTGATGACCACAACCCAAACCTCACAAGCCACAAAAACTCATTGAACCATAACTAAACACTGACACACACCCACAGAAACACCCACATAAAAGAGGAACTTCTGTGCAAAGTTCAAAGACCTGCTCCACCACATCATCTAATTTTAACTGTACTTTGTTTAAAATAATACAACTTTCTCAGAGAGTGATCACAATCCTATCTTTTTATTTTTCTGATTAACTGTTTAGTGGTCTTGACCTATGAATTTCACTGCCTAGTCTGACCCAGTGTCATGTATGTCACTGGTTTCTCTTACAGGTCATAATTAGCTTGACAATACTGAGGTCACTGGTCTTTGAACACATCTCATCTTTGAGTGGCTTGTTAACAACACAAACACTGTATGTCCCTTATTGTGTTTTAGTCGCCTTTTCCTCCTTGATGACGTTTAAGACTCGACACCACCATCTTCTCTCACTAAAATAATCTTTTGCAGCAAATTTCAACCAGACTCGCAGTGAGAAGATACTTCTAAGATAATCTACTTCTAGTTTGAAGTGGGCAATGTTTCAATATTATTTAGGGACTGGAATTGTATAGTAATAATATGAACTTTCAGCATTTTGTTATTGTTTTACATAAATCTAAAACAGAAACAGATTTCTTCACTTCTCGTTTCACATCTGAATTTTGTCTGCCATATGCACAACGGCAGAACACGGTTCATTGCTTTGAACAGAATTAAAAAAAGGACAAAAAAAAGGATTAATCTGCAACTATTCTGATAATAAATTCATTGTTTTATCTTTTTTCCATCAAAAATGTCAACCCTTCTTTGGTCCCTGCTTCTCCAATGTGTTTAATATAAATGTAAAGGTGAACATCTTTAGGTTTTTGTACTGCCGGTCAAATAAAACAAGACATTTGATGAGGTCACCTCAGACTCTTTTCACTATATTCTGACATTTTACCGACTAATCGTTTGAGAAAATAATAATCAGATAAGAAAAATAATCAGTAGGTGCAGCCCTAGCTTTGAACACTGATCGCAGACATATTATGCAGGTTCTACTTCTAATGCAGTCTCCTCCAGTGCCTCTTTCACTCCTTTCATTCCATGCATGTAAACCAATGAATGAAACAATGTATAATACTTCTCATTTGCTGGTTTAATGGCCTATATGGTACATATAAGTATACGGAACTGTACAGACGACCACAATGACAAATGGAGGCCATTAAATAGAATAGAAGGAAACATGCTGCCGCCACCCATCCATGTGGCGGGGCCTTCCAATCTCCTGCTAACCCCTGGCTGTGCTGCTGACTGGGGTTTTATGACAGGCACGCTGATAGGGGTGGGACTTTTGTGGAATGGGTGCTCCTCAGCTGACAAAGGCCAGGTTTCAAGCCCATCTGCTGCACTAATGGGCAGAGCTAACAGTGACCCTTCCCCAGTGGAGCATCAACTAGGACAGTCCATTGTCTCAAACAGGGTGCCTGCCTTCTGAGTGACATCACCATCACTGCTGCTCCAGCCTACAGCCGGCTTTCCCAAAGTCCATCTTCTCAATGGGAGCAGTAATAGTAGAATGCTATCAAAGATTTTCAGTGTTAAACTAAATGACATCCAGCTTTACATCATGATTTTCTCTCTTCATGATTCAGACTTTTGTTAACAGCTGAATAGAAATCACCACCACAGCCTTAAACACATGCCTTCTCCCAAAATTAAAGCCTGTGCTGAGCATTAAGCAGCACTGCAGCAACACTGTGCGCTATCACTGATATTTTTTGCTGGTTCTGTGTTCCTGTTTGAGCCACCCACACAACACCCCGGTGACTACACACTCCTGACAGACCAGCACCACGTTATGACTCTCCAGTCATCTTCATCCAAAGCTGATCCACATGCAGCGTTTGTCTAGAAAAAAAACCCCACGGACAACGCAGAGCTGGGTTTTTTAAACCACAAGTCACAAAAGGAAGAAGAAAAGTTTCATGATACGACACTTCTCATTTATGATGGATTAGTGTGACCGCATGGCAAAGAGCAGCGGCATAAAATGCAAGTTTTTCTTGAGGAAAAAAAAGGGGGGTTGGGTGTGCACACACCTACTCACAATCCACCTGCTTCAATGAACGCCCATCTGAAAAAAACCCAAATTAATTTCCTCTGCGCAAAAACACCTACAATGTCATCCAAATTTGCCCACTCCAAAACGAAAACCACCCTTACTTTCATTTTCTCATTTTACCAGTTAAAGTCTGCGGATAATCCCACCCCATACGGGACTCACCTGCGTCGCTGCTTGCGGAGTGAAGGGAGTGGGTGCGCGGGGGAGTGTGTGTGAATGTGAGTCGATGCTGCAGGATAGCGGCACACCGTCTCTCCCTTCGCCTTTGTCTGCTTTCAGTCTGAGAGCCGTGCCGCTGCCTGCCTCACTGGAGGAGCCACTGGGTCCTAAAGCCAACGAGTCCTGGACCCGCCCACTGTGGGTGAACAGTGTGGGTACCAGTCAGCGTGGGGCTGGGGTGGAGCTGACATCAGTCTCACCAAAAGGTATATGGACAGTAAAGACTTTATTATTTGGAGTCAAGATGACAGAGCCTATTAGAGGTCTTATGATATGTTTGAGGCACTGATGCTTTCTCTCAACAAGTGAAAATGAAATTTATTTTCTTTCCCTAGGAATCCCTGATATTAGTTGCTGGATTTGTTTTATTATCAGCCTACAATATTGTGGTTCTCGCTGTGTGTGTCCCTGCAAGTCAAAATCATCAGCGTGTCCCTTTGAGACAAACCACAGTTTTTGGTCTGGTGGAGCTCTTTGTTGCTGGAAGATAAAAGCTTGACTACCACAGTGCTTGTGTTTGACCTCCCTTCCTGGGAGGAAGTATTTGATTGTCAGGGAACCATATATTTTGTAGTTTAACTCTATACAGCAAGTCGACAATGATTAAACATCAAGATTGCCAATATGTGTGACACACATTCAGCTTACTTTTTTTACTTTTGCTTTTGACAGAACACCTGTGCTTTAGTCTGAAAATATGTCACACAGCCTCAAAGAAGAGTAAATCAAATAAAGCTATTGTATTGTACCTTGAATTCTACTTTTTAAGAAGTAATTTGACATATTTGCTCTTAATGATAACAGGAGTAATAAATCATCTGATGATGGGAGTGACAACCGCTCGCCAAGGACCAAGGAAACAAATGTTTGTGGTTGATTTTGCATGAACTTTATATGACAGATGCAGCAAAGCGATATGTTACCATGACACTGTCAGGTTCATTTTACAGATACTACACAGGGAGAAACTGTCAGACTGAAGAAACCAAAACACCACGTCACTGTAAAGCCCACGCTGGTCATTATTTCATATTAGATTACAAGCTTGGGAATGAAGACTTTTCTCAACCTCGTGTAACTGATTTTGATAAAAAGGCCTTGTGCTAGTTATTGTAGTGGGGTATCGAGTTCACTGACAACTCAGTCAGACTAGTGGAGGCTCCACAGGAAGTGTCATAGATCAGGGAAAGGTGAGATGTAGAGCTTTAGAGGTGTCACAAGATACTCCCAACAGGCTCAAATGTAGCAAGAAAAACACAAGTGTAACATCACCAAACAAATGAACTCCATTGTCATGGTATTCTTTGGACAGTAATTACTTCTGGGCCTCAAAACTGGGCCACAATACAATGTATAAGGTTCCATAAGGTTCATCTTTGGTGTTGAATGTTGCCAAACACAGAATGAAAAAATGTGCTTTCAAACTAAATTATCCAACTTTGTAACACTGATTAGTTTTTATGAAGTCCATGTGTCTGGACAGGGAAAGGTTTTAAATAAACTGTGAAAAAATAAACATTATTTTGGTTCTCTTAGTAACTGATGTTCTTCGCTTGAAGGTTACCTTCTCTATACCCTGTTTATGTGGCTTTGTCTCTCAGATCTTGGGTTATTTTCACCACAATCCACATGACATTTAGTTATTTTACAACTATGTCAACTCCTGGTAAATGTTGTGGATTAAAATACGAGTCAAACACAGTTTTACACAAATTGCCAATTCAGAATTACATTTAAAATGTGTTTTTTGGGCAAGAAATGTAAGTTAATGCTTAGACTTTGTCTTGATGGACTGGTCACAGGATAACAATAGTTGCAGATGCTGGGTGCAAAGATGATTTACACTGTGGCAACCATGTTCATTAATTAGATTGTCTACTTTGATGTTAAAGACATCACTGAGCTGCCCATTGCTTTAGACAAGAAGACCAATGGATAACAGGTCTGTGTTTTTAAAGAGCCAACAAAAGTTGATTCTTTTCACAGCAAGCTGCACTCTCTTTGTCATCTATTAATCTCCCCTCAGGCGGAAAAGCTTCACTTTAAAACTCAGCTGTTGTCACATTCTGGAGCCTCTCCTTTGCATGTCACACATAACTCTAATTCACTCTGATCACTGGCTGCTCTGCACCTCCCTCAGCGAGCTCCCCATGGGCTGCTGCCCGCTGCATGCAGTCTGTCAGAGGGGACAGGGAAGAAAGTGTCAGTGCAAGAGGCAGTTTATTAGGCTGGGGGGGCATATGGGAAGAGGAGCAGATTTGGATACTTGGCTCTCAGTATGGTGCTGTGTCACACAATGTTTCATGCCAAAACTGAAGATGTACCCAGCGACTTTACAAATCTGGTCACATAATTCCTTTTTTGGTTATGATGCTTTGTTAGTGTAAGAGGCATTTCTCTGTCTGTCTGACTTGGAAGAAAAGAAATCTCTCTAATATGTATTATTTGGCCCCGTGGACAGAGTAAATGTGACATCTCTAAATTCAACGTCAAGGGGAAGTGTTTATCATTGAGTATATTTGATAAGTTCTTTTTTAGTTGTCTAGTCATATTTCATCAATGTTTTGCCTGGAGAGAAATGGGGGGAAAATGCTAAAATACCATCCATATGAGTACAATCAATCCTGTGCTGATAATTGAACTACTGTATGTCACCATTTATCAGTGTAAACATAGTTTTGTGATGCACAGCACACATATACATACATACTTTTTTAGGATTTCAAAGCTTTTGGAAGTCTTTTAACGAGTTATAATATGAAAACACTAGTATGTTACTCTTGGCACTTAAAAGAAGTATGCTGATGAATAAACGTTTTGAAGTGCTGAAATTATTCAAGATGATAAAATCAAAATGACCTCACCATGCTTTCATACATCATTACTGTCACATAAAGAGCCCCACAATAACAGACAATTTGAAGTTATTTAAATTCTGCCTCTCAAATGTTAGGACCTGATGTATTCTGGTGAAGCAACAGTCACAATTGTCCTTCCCATTAGCAATGACTAGCTTTAAATGCCAGCCATTCCAGGCTGAATATACTGAATTTAACAACTAATTCATAGCCTGCAGCTTATGTCTATGTCAGGTCAGGTTAGCCAACATTTCCGGTGCAACAGACACATGATAAATAATGTTCTACTTCAGTTTAACGTACATACTGATGTCAAATTTAAACACAAAAAAATATAACAAACATCATAAAACGTAGATCAACCCAAGAAGTGAACTATATAGAGTATTTCTTCATTATCACAAGTGAGTAGGATCACATGTGTTATAGTCTGGTTGCCATTTCGTGTAGCAATAGTAAACAGATACAATGGGTGTTTTCAAAACTGCATTTGCCTTTCTCTCTTCCATTTAACCATGTGCAAAATGTCACACAGCTTATTTGTTTGTTGTAAACTTGCACCCAGTTTCAGTGTGCTTATTTAAGAGAGGTGTTTGTGTGTCAGCACACCAGTACAAACAGCAAAGTACATTTTCAGAAAGAGTGCTGTGCTGGCCGTCCGTATGACAGGGCTGAATGAGGTGGACTGCAGGATAAGCATAAGTGGTTCACAGCTGGTATCTGGGGGGAAACATGAGAGAGGGGTGGAGGAGGTTGGCCAGTGAGGGGAGGGGTCTGGTGGCAATAGTGGGGGGGGGGTTGCAGCCATGACGACTGATGGAGGAGGAAGTAAACAGATGTCCACAAGCTGGCAGACAGGCCCACAGTGGTCGAGCCATGGAGAGACAGGTGGACATCCAGGAACACAGTGGGACTGCAGAGTGACTGTGAAGCCAAGCAGGGCTTTGCATATAGAACGCAAACACTGGAGTCTCTCATAAATACATCTGTCATCATAATTATAATTTAGGGAACTAAACACAAATGAGGCCCATATTTGACTTTTCTGTGTCCCAGTGAGACGAATTGAAGTAGTCACTGTTGAACCAGATAAAAAGTCTTCGTTTATTGTTGTACTGGCCAACAATGTGACTCCATCTGGTGCTGTCAACTACATCAAATATTATATAACAATATATGCATGTAACTAGATTTTATCACTTAATATTTTTAAGCCAACTGATGATGACTCCCAAAAAACAAGTGGCCGAAGACAATCATCTTCATGACCCTCATTGCTAATTGCTGTCTCTTCCAGTTTATTGTAAGTTGAAATCATGAAATGATGAGACAGTGATGATGATGCAGCGAGAAAGCCTTCATCTCAGCAGTCCAAATTAATCTATCACAGTCCCTCTCACAACCCACTTCAGCGTTTTGCAGAGTCACAGCAGCAGTAGTCTTGAGAATAGACTAGAAACTGGAAAGCCATCAGTTTAAATCCCCTGGCAAGCTGCTAAATCAGAGTGCAGGAAATGAAGGAGACATGCTGTCGCCTCCCTTAACACTAACTGTCAACATGACCTTGAGCAAGGCACTTTAAACCCAGCTGCTCTGAGATGCACTTGTACGCTTGTACTTGCACTTTACGCTGGACTGACTTGGAGGACACAATGAAATACTCACTGAAGGAAGAAAAATACAACTGCCATGACAACAGTTGAACAGGTTGAAGTTTCAAAGTGACTTTGAGCAAACCCTGTGTGCTTGGATGACTGTGACCGTGTTGCCACAAATCATTAGTGCTGTGTTATTAGGGTAAATAAGGATGAGCTGGGGCCTCATTTGGTGACACTTGGGGTGATTCCTTGTCTTTTCACAATGGTGGAAGAAGTACAAGTACAACACTGCTTTTCAGAATAATATATATTAATAAGTTATATTATTGCATTATAATTATTGAAGCATTTATTTGTATATAACTTAAATGTTGCAGCTTATAAAGGTGGTTCAATAACTCTTATATATATTATCTTAATTAAAAATATACTTAAGTAAAGTACTAAGTATATGTACTTTCCACCACTGACTTTTCATCTAGCACCATCAACAGGTCAAGGTTGTAATTCCCATCAGCCTGAGCTGTACTTTACATGAGAGCTAACATGGTAAAATAAGATGGGAAACATTACACATGCTGAACATCAGCCAGTTAGCACTGCCTGTAGGACATGTTAGTATGCTGGTGTTAGCATTTAGCTAACA